GAAGATGACTTCCACTCAGGTTGTCGAAACGTCAGTCACCAACAACAGTTCTTTTCAGAACTACCCTCACTCGGACGATCACACTATACGAACTAAACATTTTTTTCTGCTTTCTTGCAGCAAATTGATGGAGAAGCTTTCCTCTTACTCAACCAGAGTGACATCGTTAACATTCTCAAGATCAAGCTGGGGCCTGCTCTAAAGATCTACAACACCATCCCAAAATTTTGATATCAGGGGTTTTTTTTTAAACTCTACCAACGTATTAGACAATCCATTCGTCCCTGTCCCAGACGCTGTGAATAGCCGGGCACTTACGTATTCAATGGTCTACAAAGCCTAGGCAACATTGAAATAGATTAGCTGACAAAATATGACAATTTGTGATACATTTTAGGTTATATGATGCATGATGGTTGCCTCCTTTTCCTTTTGAGGTGGAACGTAGTGCAATAAAAGAATATATCAATAAACCTTGGCAAGGAAACGAACGTTTTTCGTCCCGCGCTTTTTCCCATCCACCTTGAGAGGGACTAGAAACAAAATATTTCAGTCACACTGATGACGTAACTCCTCGAGGATCCCAGAATTAGCTCTGATTGGTTGTTACTCAGAAAATTTTTCCCACTGTTTGATGCGGTTTTAAACCAATCAAATCACTATAAAGTGTTATGTCATCAGTACAGAAGTTTTCGGCTCGAATCTCGCGGGAGTTGAAAATTACGCGGGACGAGAGACTTCACACCTTTCTCAGTATGAAATAAAGATTGCATTTACAGAGTTTTAATTGCTGTAGACTAGGCTACCTCAAGGGAGATCTTTTCTTGGTTGCGTTTAATGCAATATTGTAAAGCAAGACATATATTTTAGAGATCAAATTCTGGTAGAACACTTTTGTAATGGCACATGCAAAGAATTGTGTTAAAGTTTTCTTAAATCCGTCAGAAGTCACTGCTGACCGAGTTACATGAGTAATGTATTAGCTGAAGGTCTCAATTAATAATTCATGAAGAGGTTTTGGCTGAAAGCTTTTTATAAAATCACTGAAAGCCGAAAAAGACTTGCTACTGACGTACTTACCATTCTTAGTTGCGTGTAACACTAAGGGTCTCTTACTTGTCATAAAGGCTACACTGATATTTGACCAATAAATCTTTCACGTAAACAATAAGATGGAAAATTATGCCTGTTTGTGGACAGGTTTAAACTCAAATGGCGTTAACGTACGTTCCTACCCACCAAACCTTAATGAACACTGTAGTTTTCAAGAGACGACCTCGACGAGTCCATTTATTCAACTAACCGATAAAATGTTACACACCCAAGTTATGAAACTAATTTGCATTACTCACACACATTCCACACGCATACATTCACACGCTCGTTCCACAAACACTTTCAGGGGTGATTTAGGTACATTTGTCCTAACGTTTCCCTGAAAGATGAGTCAATATTTCTGGCGTCCCAATAGTAGCCAGTCCCTTCGAAACCATAATTATGCCCTAGCGTATGGCACTTTACGACGAATGGACAGGAAAGGAGAGTGCCAAATGAGCCTCTGACTGTCGACTGGAAAGGTATCCCAAAATTGACCATTTTGGAAGTATTCGGTCATCGAAACTTTTAGAAAGACCGCATAAATACCATTCATTTTCACAAAGTTTCACAAAACGGTTCACTTCAATAAGACTTTACTTAAAAACAGGTATTAAATTAAGAACTTTAAGGAATTGCGCAGCAAGTTCCAAATGTTCACTATTCTAAAGTAAAAAGTCCTCTCGTCGCCAGCTGATGTGAAGAGGGGTTCGCCCGCTTATATTTATCTTGGCACAAATCTGGACCCGAGAAACTGGCAGATATCAAGGCTAAAGTACGGAGATTACAGCTTTTATTTATCATATTTTCTTCGAGTGCACCCTGAAAGGCAATTTGACAGTTACAAATAGGGACTTGGTCATGAACGCCCTAAGTGAGACTAGAATCCTTGATTTATACCCCCACGTGAGATGACGAACATCCCTGACCTTTTCATGTGGGAGTAGCCCCCGGGGAGTAGCCCCGGACACAACCAGGTCGAAACAACTGTCCACGGTTGCAGCTTGGCTTTTAGTTTGGAATCTATCATGTCGCGGTGGTGTTAACTTTTCCTCTGACATTTTAGATTTCAACTTTGCTTAATTGTAATTCTACCTCTAGTTTTGGCCAATCAGATCTATTACAGATCCTGCTCGGCAGCATTTTCGTTTGAGGTCCCTTGCCACATATGTATTTGGTAAAGTCAATTCTCATCGATGGTCGCTCATTTTTGTAATATTTTTTCTTTGACGAAAGAGTGAATAGCTCTGGGTTCCTCTATCTAGTCGCTTTATAAGCGAATAAACCAATCAATCAATCTTTATTTGTACTCACTCTTGCTAAAGGAAAAATTACAATTTCAATGAGAATATTAAAAGTAAAAATCAGAGTACTAGCTGCCTGGAATAACCATAGGGGCTAGCGGAGCCAGGCAGCCAGTTAACATCACCAATGTTTTGCCTAGAGACGCCCCCTTCCCTCCAAGCTCCTTGGGTAACCCCATTTATATGTCGCTAAAGATCCGGCACCCTCTCCTGAAGTCCAATCCACTCCTTATCCGGGAACTTTCAGGAGAAGTCAAAACTCCCGGATGTAGTCCCTCGTGTTCGCTCGCCATTTTAGTAGCCGTAGGTGCTCTTGATCGGAAATTTGAACATGTCAGGCTTGGGAAGGTATCCTCTGAACATCCCCTCACTTTCGGAGGCTTTTTCCAACTTCCAGCATGGAATGTCAAATTCTAACCAAAGACGCGATCGACTGGATTACGATGACAGGCGCTTTAATAGAGACCGTGATCGAGATTCGCGGCGAGACGATGACTTTCGTCGGGACAGTGGTGGTTCGAGAGGAAGGTCTTCCCGCGACAGGTTTTCACCCGAAGTAAGCTCTATCTATTTAAATTGCGGGGAAAGCAAATGTGAAATGGGTGGTTTAATATTAATTGATCCGAAAGCACGTGTTACGGGAAAATCCGAAGCTTCCTTGTCTAACTTCACGCTGTAAAAGACCTTTTGACTGAGAATGACACGCTTTCTGTTAAAGCTTAAGCTTTATTTCACTTTCTTTGTTTGCATTTCTCGATATCCTTGAGGACAGCCCTCTTTGGCTCGCAGAATATGTTAATCTTGAATATGTCTTTTGTCAACTAGGAGATAGAAAGAGTAAATGCGTTGCATCCGTGGCTGTTACACCTTTCTGTTACACTTAGCATGGTAAAACTCAACGATCATATAAGCTTAGTAGTTCACTGGTTCTCTTCAAACCGTCCTCGCTGAGTTCCAGACATGACTAAAAAGCTGTGGCACAGCTGCAATATTGTACTGATTCTAGAAGTTGACTCAAGCTTATTTCACTCAGCGCTGTTGTTATTGAACTTCAGTTGAAAAACTCTACAACAAGTTGTGTCTGGATCACTTTTTGGATCGTTTGCAGGTCTACATTTGTACATTCAATCGGGCCACTGACCTGACAGTAGGCCAATCTTTACAGAGTCAAACCTTTCAAGCATTCTTTTTCGACACACTTTAATTTGCGCAGACATGTTATGTTTCTGCCAAACGTTTCCTGCCTACAATAGCTCTAATAAAGCTGAGTACGGCTTAAAAAAAATAGCCTCCTTAATACTACAAACTGTTTTGAGCTCTTGATCAGCAGTTCAATAGGACAGTTTGTTTAGAGACTAATCCCCTTCCTATTTACAGCTGTCAGTATTCCGTGACGCCGTCACAAATGCCTAAAATTGGAAGTTAAAAACACAGAGACTGATCATTTAAAATACTGTGCAGGTGTCTTCAGAGTTTCTCATTTGTTGAGAATTGTCATGACGTGGTAGAGTTATCCAAGTGGGTAAATTAAAGTTGCCGTACACATTCTTATTATTTCATGAACCCACCAGCATGTCCATGGATATTGTCTTACTAGGTTACTGAATGATATTCAACTCTCCACTGTTTGTCTGCATAAATCCCATGTGTTTTAAAAGTGCAAATGTATTATCTATTGATGGTCAATGTAAGTGACATTACTCTACAATATGGTACATAAGGATGGAAAAGTTATCATAATTTCTTATTACTTTTGATATCCAAGATAAACGCATCTTGATGATTAAACTGTGGCATGGAATATATTACAGCTTGCAAAACACCTGTCTCTGCAGGTTTATGATAGATTCATGTGTATGTCAGGATTGTCATGTGTTAATGGCTTGGTTTCAAGTCAAAAGCTCTTAGGTTTGGTATGAGAAGCTCAGTTTTAGTTGTCTTATCCGGATTTCAATGAGATTTATTGTACAAAGCAAGAGACTGTATAATGCGTTTGTGCCTTCATGTTTCCAAATCCTGAGATGCATTTCTTGAAAGCTTCTAGCATTTTTTCTCCTGGACAAGTAGACGTAAGTGAACGACATAGGAGATAAACTGTTGCTTATACTGCAACAAAACCCAATTATGGCAACAGCATTTATGTATATATTCTTTACACCAGGAGGGATTTTGTGGATGTCTTTTGTATTTGTATATACTGTAATGGCACTGAGTCAGGCTTGTGTTCAACTGACTTGTCATGTTTTTAAATGCAGAATTCATGCCATTCGATATGATGCTTATGGTTTTTTTTTCTTTCTTCATCAGGAAGGAAAATGGCAATATGAATAGTGCTTTTGTACTGATGCAATTCTTGCCTCTGTTTTGTCACTTTATATACAGCCTTCATACTCCTCATATCTAGATGACCAGCGACGGGGAAGTCAGTCAAATCTTGTCAGTTATCCTTTGGGACACCTGAACAACTCCAGGTCTAATGACAGAGGCAATAGCAGGAACGATAGAAATCGTAATCAAAGCAGGGACCGCTATCGCAACAACGATAATCGGTCGCAAGGCAACAGAGGCCCTTCTAATCAGGGACCTGGAATCCTGGGTGCTAAGCCTGGCGATCGCTCAGTGCCAGAGCTGCCATCAAATCCCTTGCAAGGTCTGGTGTAAATTATGTCATTGATTGATCAGTCAATCCATACTGCTGTGAGACTGAATTTAACTTTGCACTCGTTTATGTGGCATTGCCTAACAAGCTCTCCAAGTTCTCTTTAGTACTGTTTGTAGTCTACATGTCTTTTAAGTTCTGTATGAGTTCTCTCTCCTCAACTGTGCTCTTCTCCAGTTTTTCCTCGTGTGCAACCTTGTAACTCTTTGCATAACTCTGTTGTCTTGTCAAGTTGTTAAGTTCAGTGTGCCAGTTGTCTCAAAGTGCTTGTAATTTCCAGTACATGAGGCAACAGTCTGGTTGTCCCAGACAAGTAAATTTTCTTTTCAGACAAGTTACATTCTCTTCTCACTTGTCCAATGGCAAGAGGCTAGGCAAGTCTTCTGCTGTCCATTGAAAGACCTGAGCAAATGGGGAAATGTCCTGGGCAAGCAAAATTTGAAAGTTGCTTGGAATCAGAATTTTTCTTGTACCCTGTTATTAGATTTGTTTCTTATCTTTGGAGCAGTAACTGTACAGGTATTAACAATCCTACAGATCATTTTCATCCTTGGATGTTGCAAAGAACTCTTCTAGGGGTTGACCTCTTCAATAGGTTACCTGGTCAGAATGAACAAAACATTTTGATAGCAGACTTACATAGCAAGCTATCAAAAGGGCTGTTGTTAAGCTATGAACTAGCTGCAAGAGGCTAGGCAGTCATACATTGGTGTTATCCTTTGGTGATTTTTAAAGCTTGACGTACCACTAAGTCCTCTTCTGTATGATTGCCAGTCATAATATAGCCAACTGATGTCTGAAAATGGCAGTTCTGCATTACAACTATCATCTTTCAAGCCTTTCGTGTTTTGTTAGTCTCATTTTATAATGACAGAAGAAGGAGTAATAATATATTGTCCTTGTTCTAATGTTTTGCACTTGCTTATCTCCATCTTTTGTCATGTGTCTGTTGTTTTGTTGATAAAATAATGCTGCCCCTCTGCATTGAAGAATTTGAACTCAACACTGGAATGCATTAGTCCCTGACTCTTTTATTGTACATTTACTGTTACTATCTACATGTGCAATCACATTTTTTCAGCTGTGCCTGGTTATAAGAACATACATGTCGCACTTGTGAATTTGAGTGTACTTATTCTGACTAGCAGGAGAAATTTAACCGGTGGAGATGAAGGGGTTAAGGTTTCCCCTGTATAGCTGCCAAGTTTGGATATTGGCCTCCTTACAACAGTTTGCTTCATATCATGTACAATACACATGAATTTCTCTCACCAGATGCCATTCTTGACATTAATTTTACATTTTGTGGCAGGTATATCTGTTGTTGTGTACAATTTGGTTATTTATCTGAGCTCTGGAAATCCTGTTACATGTACCTTGTGCAAAAATGACCCTGGATTCTTTTTTCCATCTTAATCGACTGGACAAACTGTTAGACACAGACCTTTGAATTGCAGTCTGACATACATTCACACCGCATGTCAGCGAGCAACCAGCTTGGGCTTTGTTTGACGACTCGTAGGAACAAACACATGTAGCTGCTTAGAGGATAAACTTTAAACCAAAGAAGAACACAATGATTTCTTCTTTACTCTAAATGAACTGTAGTAGACATTCCCCTTCTTCCTGTGGTGCCAAAACCACAAATGGAATATCCCCAGTGACACTTAACAGTATGTTTTGTAAAGTGCACAATTAAGTATTAACATGTTTGTGTAAATGTTTGGTGTGAAAACCTGGATTTCCTTGTAACAAAGTCCATTGACTCAATGTAACAAAGTCTTGTGATCACAAGAAAAGAGGGACTTTTGCAGTAATGACCGCTGGCTGCTAGAAATCCTCAATGTTTAAAATGCCAAGAGACAAAACCAAACAAGGCACGTGATAGCGTGGAATGGAGCTAACCATCAGTGTACTTGGAGCACTGTAAATTTAAATGATTCTGTAACAACTCTTTGTGTACATGTAGGCCAAAGCCTCCCCACAGTCTCTTAGTGATAGCAATCGAACCGCATCTGCACACCTTCCAGTTTAACTTTGACACAGTGGAGACACTCTTGTAATAGTATTCTTTGGAATATCCAGTGTAGTGACCTGACAAAACAATCTAAGTTTTGAGCAAACTGTTTGTGAAATGTGCACAATGTAATAATATCATTCATTAAGTACTTAATGACTTGCCACGCAGAAGGAAAGAGGAAGTTTTGTTTCCCAGATCCCTCAGTGTTCCCAGTGGAGATCAAAGAGATCATGGAAGCTTGGGAAAAAAACAAAACCTGGCATTTTCTTGAAGCAGACGAAATTTTGGTTTCTACAGTTCTTTCATGCAGGGCCATGATTTACAGCTCACACAGATTTATAGCAGCCTCCATTGCAAGTCTAAAAATGTAACTTGTAGTCTTTTACGTATTGTATGTATTATGCAGTTCTTCTGTAGTGCAAGTTCCTGTTTGATCACAAGGCTTTTTACGTGATGTTGTTCGATGCAGGATAGTTATTTGTCAAATGTTGTAAAAGCAGAATGCAAAGCAGATACACACAACTGAAACTAAGCCTCGAACAAAATGCACATTGGTTCTGGTGTTGCATCCAGTTGGTTGTATCTAGGAGGTCCAAGTTTCTTTTCATTCAGTCACAGAGAAATCAAACTAAAACAGTAGCCGTTCATGATTGTACCCTACACATATCTCACACTCCCTAAATGTGTCACAATTTTTAATCAACATTGTTTGTCGTTACATCACACCTCATCAGCTTTCTTACTATATATGATTGTACAGCAGAATATTTTCTATCCCTGATGATGCAATGGATCAGCCAAAGCCTGGAACATTGGTTTAACTATAAACGGTGCTTAAATGCCAATCAATTAAATATGCTACAGAAGGACAACAATTAATGCTTACTTGTTGTCAATTTGTTAAAGGAGAAGGTCACTCCAAAAAACATATTTTTTTTGCCAATGCAAATAAAAACCGTGCACTATGTTTAGCCACTCACCAAAGTTTCAGTCTCTAAAGTGCAGGTTTTCCTCATGAAATTCGTCTCCAAATAAGCCTAAAATTTTACAGCATTGCGGCCATTTGGAACAGTACTCAGCACCCAGGCTGCATTTTTGTGATGTCATTCTGTCCAAGGGACAAGCCTTTTAACTACCACTCTGCATTATGGCTGCTCTTGAGCTGGCTGTATTATTTCAAGTCAAACATGCTCCAAACCCCAAAAATTATACCAGTGAAGATAGTGAAGAGGATAAAAAAGTACATTTTGCTGACCTTTTGAAGGATGCCAAGTCAGTTGCAGGTTTTTCTGCATCCTGCCAATTTCAAGTTGGACGGAATGACGTCACATAAACACAGCTTGGCTGCCAAGTATGGTTTCAAAATGGTGGCATCCAAAGTCATAGTTCAGGCTTATTTCGATATGAATTTCTTCGGGATAGTAGGCACTTTAGAGGCTGAAATTTTGGTGAGTGGAAAAACACAATGTTTCCTTGCTATAGGTTGAGACAAAAAAGGAAGCTTCTTGGAGTGACCTCCTTTAAATTTTATTGTAATATTTATAAGTGCAGGTCTTCAAAGCAGAGGTACAAGTTAAAAAAGATGTTGTGTAAGATTTAAATTTTTTTTGTGCAAGCAAATATTCGACCACTGAGTAAGTATCATCCAGGTGTTGAGTTCAAATTCTTCTTGGTAGAGTAACACTACTCAATACTAATCGTGAGTTAAGTGTTGTTGTTGTTTCTATAGTTTCCTTGTTCTTCTGACCTTCATGTTTGTCTTTCACTAAATTAACAGCTTGGAATTGCTTCTTGCGCTCAAAAACTATTTGTTTGCTGTGTTAATCTTTTTGTTATGTTTTCACTGAGAAGCTAACTTTGCATTATGCATTATGCAGGATTGGGTGTGTCAGGAACAGGTGGCCTGGGGTCTGGTTTGACAGCGCAGTTAGCCCAACAACAACAGCAGCTTATGGCAATGGTGCAGACGCAGTCCTTACTAGCAGCCATGCAGGCTCAGGCTAACGCAAATGCTCAAGCACAAGTGCAGGCTCAAGCACGGGCTAAACAGGTCATGCCCTCTCCTCTAGGAGGACTACTCCCCACACCTCTGATACCAAGGACTGGTGGAAGAGACATGCAGCGGCAAAATCGCAAAAGGAGGAATGATGGATGGGGTGGGGGAGGTAACTATGGAAACAAAAGAGAGAGATTTGATCGCAACCGTGGGCAACAGGGTAACAACCGGTTTGGACAAAACCAACAGAACAGAGGTAGGCAAGGTGGAGGGGGAGCACAGAGCCAGCAGGCCAAGAAGGCAGTAACACCTGATGTGAAGGAAACCACAAAGGATGAAGATGCAGAGGAAGAGATTCAGGAGGAAGAGGAAGCAGATAAAGAAGGTTAACATTGCATCACTTATTCTACTTGGGTGTTATTTTGGCAGTTGGGACACACTTCAGTGGCCAATGCCAATGTGGAGAGGTGATCATTGTCGCGAGGTGACTGTTAGTGGAGGTTCAACTGTAAATGCAAAGGATGATATGTGTTACAGTTGTGTCTTCCAGATTGTTTTCCTTTTTTGTTTTAATTATGTGCTTAATGATATCTTTTAGTAGATGAGGACACAGAGGAGCCAGACGCATCTCAAGAAGATGACAAACAAGATCAAGAGCATGTTGAAATAGCCCCTCCAGAAGAAAACAGTCAGCCAGATCTTCCAAAGTCTGTCAATTTCATTGGAGAAGACGTCGATTCTTTGATGATCTCTCTTTTTGACAGGAAAAGGTCCAAGTACATTTGTCAAGAATGCAAGATCATCTGTAACTTACCGATAGTAAGGGTTTTCTTAAATAGCTATAATTACAGAAACATGTGTACCTAGTATTTAACACCCATCCTTGGATTTTGAGGGGAAAATTGTTTTGCTTACCTCAGAGAAGTACTTTAACTGTTAGTGAAGACTCATTGCATACATGATTTTTTCTTGTACACAGAGTTTTCACAAACATCTCTTTGGTAAAAGACATGCCAGGACTGTTTTGGAAAATCAGGGAAAAGAGTTTGATCCAAATGAGTTCAAGAATTTCACTCAGGTATGATACAATAGTAGCTGGTAAAGAGATATTAAGTTTTGATTGCTTTATTGTGTTGAATAAGAATTCCTTTTGCTAAGATTCTCTTTTAAGCACCTCAATCTTGAAAACTCTGTCATTACTAATGTCTATGATACTTTATGGTATCTTCCATAGTGAAAGTTTATCTTTTTAGAGTTAAATGATATATGTGACCAATCAGTTTAATGCAATCATCATCATCATCATCATCATTATCATGATCATGTCCGTTTTCCTACAAGGGAAATAGGGCCTTGCGTTCTTGCTCGCCAAACTTGTTGGTTCTTAGCACATGCATCAGCATCCAGCCAGACTTTGAATCCAAACTCCCCCCTGTCCATCTCCACAGTTGGTCTCCCAAGTTTCCTTAGGCCTGCCCCTCCTACGTCTTCCTTCTGGGGTCCAAGTTAGCCCTACTTTTGTTTAACCTTTTTTTTTTTCAGTTTAATACAATAGGTATCAAATTTTTCATGCATGTAGGAATTAAAAAAGAACATGTTTTCACTCTTTTGCTGTTCTTCCAGGGAAGTACACCTGCAGAGAAGTCCGAGCCGGAGGATGCAGGAACTGGTGCTGAATCGGATGAAAGAGAGAAGGCCAGTGATGCAGATGTGTTCAGCCCAGCTACTGTACAGTCACCAGATGTTGAAACAAATCTAGACTTCGTCAAGTACACATGTGATACAAGAAAGACGGCTATGAAAGATGGCAATATCATCACTATCTCATCAGTCACACAGGCACGAGTCAGGATTGATGGTTTTACAAGCGGGAGGAACATGTTAGGTAAAAAGCTATTCATTTTGCTTCACGTAGCTGATAGGTCAACTGAAGAGGAATTTAAATTGCCTTGATTTTTTTTGTGTGTGTGTGGAGTCTATCCCTTCTGCAGTAAGCAATGTTTTGTTTGTTGTCCTTTCAGTACCTTGCAATTTACATACACCCTGATATGCCATACTTGCCTGCCTTTGCAAAATAGTGTTATTTCTGATTCATGTGAAGGTGGCTCAAAAGTGATTGGCATATTTGTTTGAATGGTTCAGCATTGTTCTCCTTTCCTAACAGGTTGTGAGTTTGTCAAAGCAGTGTCGGGATTTAACTGCCGCCTTTGCAAGACATTTATACGCTGTGGAAATGATGTGATAAGTCATATTAAAGGCAAAAAACATCAGAAGAATTATCAGGTATGTAGATCTGAGTTTGAATTAAGATTTACTGTAGTTATGGCTGTTGTGGCATGGTTTTATTTTAACTCCTACAGAAAGTCATAATCCTGTAACAGTCTTTGTCCAATAGCTGTTACAGAGACTGCAAGGCAAAAGGATCAACACTTCCAATCAACACAATGGAGAATGACCCAGTCATCCTCTTTGTAAATTAAACCAATGAGAACTTGCTGAAGCCTAACCTAGTTTCTATAGCACTAAGAAACTAGGAGTAAGTTCTTCCCCTAGGGTGGGTTGCTAGTCGACCGCAGGGTTACTCCTCGAGTTGTAAATCCGTGGTACGCAATTATACACCTAAGTTGAGGGAGGCATGGCCCTGACCCCAAAGCGTAGGGGGAAACTCCCTAATATGGACTATATAGGTATGTGCTGCCCTAAAAGGTATGGTTATTGAGCGATTTCATCTGAAAAGGGGTGTAGACATTTTTGGTCTGAAGTAAAGTATGTTTTTCACTCTTGCTTGGTATTGGAAACTATTTTTTTCCACATCAGCATTAGCAACCCTTCTCAAATGTTTATGCAAATGGTAGTCATTTCTGGCTAGCTGCAGTCATATATTAGAGCAGTGTACTAATTTTGGCTCAGGTCTGAAGCAGCAGGGCTGTTCTGAAGCCTTGATCTTCACACCTGTAACAAACTTGTTACTTTATGGGTGAAATGTACCAACTGCAGGCAAGTTCATGCGTACCATCAAAGGGTCATGAAGCATGCTTGGCCGTAACAGGTGCTATGGGTTACGGCCCTCATTGACAGCCCTGAACAGGGTATGGAAAATCACAGATTTTTGTCTGAGATAGGGTACAGGTTTCAAAGTTCACACCAAACATCCTCACCAAACGCCCTCACCAAAAACTTTGGGGAACACATGGTGTACTTTGGGGAGTACATGGGCAGGGCTCAAATCCAGACCTTGGTATGCTAACCCAATATACCTTTCTAATACTGATTTGTAGTTTGTGACCATTTTATTGTTCAAGACATACGTCCAGGAGCACCCACAGTATGAAGAACATCAGTTAGCTCGAAATAAAGAGTTAGAGGTAGTGTTGGAGCCGAAAGAAGGAGAGGAGGTGGTGTTATATGAAGTACTCGATAAAGACATCAAAGCATCAGCTTCAAAGCAGAAAATTCATCGCAAGGACTCGCAAACTGATGAACCAACAGAGGTGGGCAGTGCAAGATTTCTTTGATTGTTCATTTCATGTTGCATTGATGTCCATGTACATACTGTTAGTTCTTTATTTTTGAGTGGTCAATTTTAATTTCCCCTAAAAAAGAAACATCTGGCAATTGACATGATGGGAATTTAAAACCTAAGAAAAGAGTGTCAAATTCCTTTAGGTCACTTTTACTGGGCCTTCTGTTGAACTGTGTAAAAGCAGTTTTTCAAGGTCATCAAAAATAGCTGGCTGCCACTGAGCCAAAATCATCATGTGCTTGGTGATCTCAGCCAGTTACTCTGTCTGGTAGTTCTTCCAATTCTTTTATAAACATTGCAAAATTAGCCTCCTAATCTAACAAACAAACAAAACTACCTGATTGAAAACTTTGTGACAACCTTGCTCTTGGTTTGTTGTCATTTGAAATTGTCACACTTGATGATTTTACGAGCTGAAGTAAATGTTAGAACCACCCATGTTAAACTGGAGATTTTACCGGAGTGTTTTACTTAAAAGTGAAGCCTTGGAGCCGATGGCTCATAACTGCTGGAGCTTATCCCGGTTTCTGTAGCATGAAGCGGCTAGGAGTATTTCTACTCCCCCGGGATGGGATGGTAGTCCATCGCAGGTCACTCCCCTGCAATTTGTTAGGTTTCCCCAACAATTCGCTGGTACCCATTTTTACTCTCGGGTGGAGAGAGGCACTGAAAGTTAAATGTCTTGCCCAAGAACACAACACAGTGTCCCCGGCCAGGGCTCGAACCCAGACCGCTCACTCTGGAGTCAAGCACATTAACCATGAGGCCACCGTGCCTCCACTCAAGGTTATGTTCAAAGTGATTCAACAGCATGCAAACTAACAGTTTTATGAGGGCACTAGAATTGGCTACATTAGTGTAGATGCATTTTCTCCAGTATCACATGACTTCAGAAATGAAACAAGGAAAGCTAATACATGTAGTCTCAATGGAATTGCCCATGAAAATAGTAGCAGTGCATTAGTCTTTGCCACAAAAATGATGATCCTGTAAGCTAAGGAGAGGGTCATACAGGGTAGGTCTCTGGCACAGTTCACAAACCAAAAAAAATTGCGGATAACGCATCACGGATATCAAAATTTCATTTTCTCGAATCACGAAAGTAAGCCAGTAATGTACTCTTTTTAATAACCTGCTCTTGCACTAGAGTATTTAAAGAAAGCAAAATCATTTAAGGCTAAGGCTCCACATTGCAAGTCACATACCTAAATCACATGCGACAGACGACTCTAACCATTCAGAGGACTCACATCTCAAAATCATGTAGAATAGAGTGGTGAAATCACGAATATCAGTTAATAATTCAAGTTCTTCACAGGTCACGCAAAACCTTCAGGTCACAGATCACAAAGAATAATTTCTTTAATTCACATTTCACGGAAAATAAAGTCAGCTAATCATGCATCACGAAAATACCCCTGCGTGACTCTCCAAGCAATAGCACGTAATAAAATTCAGTACAATGATTTTGTGTTTGGCACCTGAGCATTCAAAAAATGAAATTAACTCCCCTTGCAGCCATATTTATTGGACACACCTATTTTTCAAGGGGGGTGGCTAGCTGGTACCTCGGGGTTGCAGAGTCAATGGGGCATGCCCTTAAAATGTTGCAATTTGAGAATTGGGACTACTACCCAGAAATGCTATCAATGCAACAAAGTAGAAATTACAATGAGGTACCTGTCCCGAGTGTTTGCCTTTACTTCTGCCATAATGTTGACAATCTTTTTCACTTTTTATCTTGTGTTTCTCCAAAAGGGATCCAGCCAAGCCTGGCTAGCCACCCAATCTACCCCTGTCTTTTTGCAATAATTTTTTGTAGACCAGCAAAACCTGTGTTTTGTTCAATGTTTCATTTCATTTTTATTTGAGTTTTTTGGGTTTGTTTATGTTACTTTCTCTTTTGACGACTACGTACTTAGCAGCGTATCATAATTATTTAAGATGTGAACACCCTGTACATTGTTGTATGTGTTTTACATTGTAATCTTGCATGAATTATTGCAAGTTTGTCATCTCATTAAAGTCTAAACTCCAAACATTGTTAACAGGTACAGATAACAAAGTTTGTGGTAGCACCCGAAGGCACTGATGAGGCAGCCCAGATGACGTGTGAAGCAGCTGATTTAGATGTAAGCATGGAAAATATGGAACACTTGAATGATGACTCCCTTGTGACAGAGAGCGGTGATGAACAGCGAGATACAACCATGACACCAGAGGAGGAGGAAGAACTTTTATCTGACCATGCAGAGCAGGCTGGCATTGGAGAATATTCAGGAAATGACGTATCACTGTCAATAATGGCACCACAACTTGATGTAAGTGCAAGCAGAAATGCTGCTTGTCAAAAATTATTTTCTTGAGGATTTTTGCAACTTGCAGCATTGGAAGTAATCAGAATCTAAAGCTTGTAGAGTAAATTGTATGACAAATAGACAAGTGAAATTATGACAGTCATTCATCATCCACTTGTTTGCCGCTCAACAGCAGTGACTGAGGCAAGCATCCAGTTGATTTTATACATGCTAAAAGAACCAACAAGTTACATTTGTTTTCAGTGAAAAGACAATGATAACCCCAAGTTGTTAAAAACAGTAATAATGTTTTCATTCTCTATTTTGATCTCTTGACCATTTTTGGTCAAGAATGAAGACACTGATGCTTATTTCAAAAACGCCCTTTCACAGGAGACAGAAGATTTCATTCCACTGACAGTTAACGAACCTGTGAAGAGTGAAGAGCCAGAGGCACCAGAGGAGCCAAAGATACCACTCTCCATCACCCCCCAACTTGGCACCAGCGAGGACAACGAGAAAGAAGAGCTACAAGAATCAGAGACACCAAGCAGTTCACAGGAAGAGATAGAAGCTACACCTCCCAAAGAAAACACCCCGACTAGTGGTGGCAGACGAGGGAGGAAGAATCAAACTAGGGGAGGAGCTGGCAGGGGAGGTGTAGCTCGGGGAAGAGGGCGAGGCCGAGGATCAAGGAGGAGTGCAAGAAGTGCTGCAGGCCCAGGAAAAGCTAAAGTGAAAAAGGAGAAAGCAGAAGAGGATGCCAACAATGATGATTTGAACTTGATGGAGGGCTTTGAGGTTATAGATGAGATTGGTGATGGAGAAGATTAGAAACAAGGCCATAGACTTATGTGTAGACATTGCTAATAACTAGCACTCTTACCATAAGGATCCCTTTTTTGTGACATTTCTATTTTATCTTGAAAGTCTTTGCTAGAGGGCAAAGTATAGAAATGTTTTAGCTGTTCTTTGGTTGTTTGGATAAGTCAAACTTGTAAACATTATTAAAATTATGTAAAGGTTAGTTTTCAAGAAAGGGTAGCTCCTTTTTAATATACAAATGAGTACTTAATGAGTTCATTTCTTCCTCTTTACATTCTTCTCTTTGTATATTTATTGTTTAACATAAACATGATTGGTACAGTCCTGAACTGTTTTGTTGTGGTTTGTTTACGTTACCTCTGAACATCCTTAGCCACATCAGGCATTTTTTAAACTCGTGAATCCATGTTATTGGTTAAATCAAAGTGCTCTATGGCTTACTGTAACCTGTAAATTTCACAGTGAATACAATGAGCAAAATTAATAATAATTTTTTGATTCTCCAGACATAATGCCCACAGCAGAAAGGTTATTTTAAAGACTGTCTACCATTGTAGTAATACAATGTTGAAAGGTAAAAGCTAACCTTTAAACGACCTTTTTGTAGTGTCCTTAGCAGCATGTACATCACTGTTGCTTTATGTGTGCCAGATGAAAACTTTCCCGACCCACAAAATAATGAACCAGAAATTTTAACACTCAATCTTCTTTGCTCGCAAATTGCCACTCGGGCGGGGAGAGATGAAGGACAACTGTTTTTACAAGCTAACTTAATTTTAGTTATTTGAACTAACAGTTAGAAGCTGCCATTGACACTTACCCTGATTGACAAATTAACTAGACAATTTAGGAGCTATTTAATTTGAGTTATTTGAGCTAACAGTAACATTTTTAACGTAGCACTTACGTTGTCCTAGAGATGTGCCTGCAAAACAGCCAAGTTGCAAAGAGTCAATAGATGATCAACCAATCCCTCGTTAGCATAATGTGATCCAACCACTGCAACCCATAACTTCCTTATGCAATTTTCACGGCTTTAGGGGTCACTGAGCTCGTTTTTGAGTTGTAAACACTCAAAGCTAAAATTATTATTAAGGGTGTTTCTAAGAGTTGTTCTAATGCTATGAAGACCTGTTATATAAATAGGTTCACCACATCTTCTTTACCTTTAATATCAGAAAACAAATGAAAAATACACAGTTAACATGAGCAATTGAAGGTTGAACTTTTTACTTCAAAACAAGAAGTACAACATGAAATTTTACAGTGTTTGTTCTCTCAGCAATCAGCTTATTTCATTTACAACCTTGTTCACAGAGTAATCAGACAACTATGACACAACCTTTCAGTCCCAAGTTCAGCTAACTGGACTGATCATTTAAACACGGTTTTGACAGCACTGAGGCCATAATCTGAACCCAATTTCTGTAGTTGGTCAGAGTTCTGCACATGGGAACCCCACTCTACCAAGAGTACTGACTTAGGGCATCCTATCCAATCTCTTAGCCTGCAGACCCAAACAGATTTCCTGACGTGTGAGACGACAGCCTGAAATCTGTCCAAGTTCCAAGGATATATATATCTTTGACAGTGTTTCAAATAACCAGCCATAAATTCTTCTCTCTGCCATCATTGTGAATCATTCCAAACTTTTTTATACGTTCTAAGAATCTGTAAAATGTGGTACAGAAAAGGATGACGATTTTCTTTATCTTTATTTATTTGTGCATGCCTGCTTCACTTACAGGGAAATAAAATGGTTGATCACTTGGGAACTAAACGTTTAAATGTGTTCTTTGCCACAGAACGGACAAATTAGCCAGCTAAACTAAACCACAGCATGAGTTCAAGCTACACTTGTGGTTTAGCCTAGCTGTGATATATGTTACTCTTCTAATACAAACAAAAATGTAACGTGAAAGTTTTAGAACCAAAAAACCCTCCCTGGGAGGAGTATGGATATTTTCTGGAACAACACATTTTAATGTCGGAACTTCACTCTTTCTCATGTTTGCTTTTATAAGCCTAAGTAATATATTTATTATTGGAGGAGGCTAGATTGCTGCAACTTTTTTGCCAATGTTATTGCAAACAAAATGGTCTTACTATTATTTCATGAATCCACAAAATAAAAGATAGTAAACAAAAGAAAGTAAGAATGCACAGGTGGCCAAAACTGGGGAAGATTAAAAGATTTCTATAAAGCTGAGAGAGCAAACAAGTTTGATCTTTGTTTTCCTTTGATAAATGTTCCTATCCATAATCTGAGACATGGGAAAATGAAACTGGATCGAAACATTTCAAATGATTTAAACACAAAAATAAATTAAAATGGACATAGTAAGAGTGAGGCAGTACAAATAAAGAAAACTGAAGACAAGTTGCAAAAAACAAGGTTTATATTACTAATAAAGAATCCTGTGTCTGCTCTTTGCAACCTAGCCCCTGAGGAATTAAGCTTGTGATAGTAAATCACATGACCATTTTCTCACAACAAGTTGATTATTTTCACATAACACTATTTGACAGACAATTTACAAATCATACATTGTTTTTACAACATCCACTTGTCTTTGTAAAAATATATTTACAAAATTATATTATAGTTGGCCATTAGCCATAAATTCATTTTGTTTCCTACTGGCTAAAGCTCTGTGGTGAAAAGACTGCAGGCAGTCAGCAAGCAGTCTCTTGCTTAAGAATCTGTGACCAATGATGCAAAACAAGTGAACGTGTGGGCGTGACATATGAGCGGCAAGCACTACTTGGGGTTCACGGCTTTGCATATCACGCTCACATGCACGACTGCTCACTTGTCTTGTGTTCTTCCCCACAGATTTTCGAGCAAAAGGGAGACTGCTTGCAGTCTCTGTGGTGAATATATCTTTTTTCTTTCTTGTATCAAACAAAGAAATAACACATTTGGACATCTTGTGCATCATAAATGTAGGTGCTGGCAAGTGTCGTGTAAACTTTACAACCCTCACACTCTGTAACAACCAAACTTTTCTTGGAAAGCCCAAGCTCCTGACCCCCTAAAATGTATGTATGTAGATAACAATAGATGAGGGACAGCATAGTCTCTCTTGTTCCATCAGGTGGAGAGCTGGGAATCTAGAATCACAAAAATCATGATTGGAGAAATGGAGAAACCCACAACACCTCCCTGCTCGCTATTTTTGCATTTATGAGATACAAGAAAAGATGTCAAGTAATGAAAGGAATTTGCATCTTTGTTCATACACTTTTAACTTATCAAGTCAAGAGCTTGGAGTACCTATTGTCTTGTTATTGGTTTGGAAACATTGCAAGATGGGAATCAGCAGATGTTTATGTAACTACATGTTATGTCCCTACTTTGAATCTAATAGTGAAAGGACAAAATAATTAATACTGCTAGAAACAGCATTTTCATCCACAAAGGTATATCAATTTTGCACCACTTACTACCTGGCATAGATGTCTATTGGGTCAACCACTGGCCAGGGGTAAGAACATAAAACTACTAGTCCTTAATGGTGTGACAGACACACGGGTCACAGTCAAATAAGTGAGCAAGACGTGTCATATCTCAACCAGTAGTAGCACTGGGAAATATACATACAGCACCCCAGTTTCAAGTCTATTTCATTACCCTTGAGCTGGAAAGAAAGTGTAAATGACAAACCCTGATGTCAAGTCTTGATTCTGAAAAGTTATGATATAAACGGTGATAACTTCTTTATAAAAAAATTTCTGTTTGATGGTCACCTTGAAACTGTTTTTATTTGAGGTCACCTTTAAATTAAATTGTAGGTTAGGTAACAGGTTTTCAGCATGTTGAATGTTTTTTGTTTTTTTTGCAGGGGAGGGGGGGGGTAGTATTCAACAGCCTGTAAGCTTATTTTCACTTTGACAAAATAAGAACTGTGACTTGCACACACCAAGGGAGTTTTAGTTAGACTTGTAAGGTACCACTCTTTACCTCAATTAGTTACATCAAGGGCGTAGCTAGGGGGGTCCCAGGGTGCCCGTGAGCCCCCCTTTTGTAACCCTTTTTGAGCAAACAACCTACAACAGGTGGCGCAAATGCCATGATGATACCTTGGCCATGGTGAGTACCCTCACTTTGATACAGTGTGACCCCCTTTTTATAAAAATCCTGGCTACGCCCCTGTGCATGATTAATCCAGTGCAACATCCTGGTCACAATCTACAGGTAGTCAGGCCAGGTAGCAAGTGTATGTACATAACATTATTCCCAATCCAAAAACAGCCTGTGTACGCTATCATTTTTAATTTTCATGGCTAAAAGCCAATAAAAGTCAACATAAATAAATAAAATAATGGCATTGAGTTGCTGTTTATTTTACCATGCGTATTACACGAATTGTCTTATTGAAAAATTCCACAATGAAAGTACTACTGTTAATTTACTTTGACACGGTTTTTACACAAGGAATTCACTCACAAAATAGACAGTACTTAATGTGACATGACCCACAAGAACTTCATTTGTAGAATAGATTTTTGTTGATAAAACATTTGCTCATCTGAGCCACAGTTTCAGCCTAAGTGCGTCAACTCCATTAAGGTAGTACCTAAACAACCTTTTATCTCGAACAAACCCCAGGTTTTCATAGAGTCGAAGAGCTGCTGTGTTGCTCACTTCAGTCTCAAGAACAACCTGCAAATTAAGTAACATGACATGCCTTATCTGTGATATGAACTACAACGTCGACACACAATTTTTCCTTACTGAACTTCACACATTTCTTATAGTACTAATCGGGTGAGTTTCATCTAATGGTCAGACAATATGCATTTATTGATCATTTTCTAAATTCTCTTTACCTTAATGTTTGATCAGGTATTTATATCAGTGAAAGGGAGAATTTACATGCTTATAGTACACCACTATACCAACTGGGCTCAGATATACATACTTTTGGTGTTGAATTCTTATACAGATTGAAATAGACTGTGAGTAGTCCATTCCTTTTCCTGGCATGCAAGATGTTAAGTTACTAGCATGCACCTGTCCCCATTCCCTCCTCATTTCTTTCCCTAATTTGCATAATGTTGACTAAGTTCCGCACGCACAAGATTTCAGGAACAAAAACCGACTACTCCTAGTCTAATACAAAAATGTTCTCCTTCTTGAAAGAATAATAATACTCTCATTAACACGAGTACTCTCCTGGGACACCTTGCTGTATCTTTGTAAAACAAGGATAATGAGTGGAAATCTTACCTCATCACAGCTGTCCTCAATCATTGCCTTGATGGCCCTTACCACAAGATTTGAACCTAAAAAAAAAATGAGACGTTAGGATGAGGCTGTCCTGTAACAGTACCCTGTTGTTTTACATGCATTGGTCAAACAATATGTCATTGATTATATGTCTCTTCATGACATCCCACTCTTGGGTTAGTGCCTGAAAGCTAGGAACTTACAGAAACTTAAACCTTCAACCATAGACTAAAGTACATGTAGCTGGAATGCTTTCCAATGCAAATTAATACAGATACCAATGTAACTGCAGTCTGTTATATTAGGTATTTTGTAGCAAGGCACAGCTCACCTATTTTATGTCGTCTGTATTCTTTCTCAACAGCTAACATTGCTATGTATCCTCTGCGAATCATGTTCTTGTGCATGTCAAGCTTGCACACGACAGCACCAACACACCTCTTGCCATCCATGGCCTGGAGAGACACCATGCATGCATTACTTATTACCTAAACACAGGTTGTACTGGTATTTTCAGCTCTGCATCCCTTCCCTTCCAAACCTCTCTTTTGGAAATTAGGCTATCTCTGCTGAGGTTATGTTTATGTTGTGATTAGGATTTATATATCTTACATTTCTATTTTTCAAACCCTTATAGTTCCCTTCTGAGAGCTAAATTATTGAATACTGCAGAATCAAAGAGTGAAATCAAAAGCGAACAGGAAACATCACAAATCTTACCTGTCACCCCAAATTCATTTCATTACCATAATTCAAGGAAACAACAGGATAACAGAAAACAATAAGCAAGGCATTTTGCAGACATCACTTTTCCACATGAAACGAGGAAAAAGTAGGTCAGACATCTGCACACAGGGTCAGTAAAATAAATTATCATATGACTTGTGTTTGTAGCCAATGTAACGCACACTCTGATAGGCTAACTCTAGGGCATTGTTCTCCCGTAATGCTCACCAGCTGATTACGCACTGGCTTGCAAAAAGATCACAACAAGCCATAAGATAAACAACTCATTAACTTTGAATGTTTGGTCTTAACAGGAAATGTCTCCCTTGTGAACTTGTCTCCCACCTTTTTGGTGGAGTACAAGATCCACAATGCACTTGGAGCAGTGATTAGCCACAAATATTTTCAGTATAATTATTTTCCACAAACAATTTTAACAAACTTCCTGGTGTAATTTTCTATCATTTATGTCCTTACACATTTCCTCAATTTCCCCTCAACTTACCAAAAAGCACAGCTTGGGCCAGTTATGAATGAAATAACGATAGGTGTAGATGGAGTATGGTTCCGAAAGGTCCTTCGTTATAAGGGCCATGATAGCCTCCATTTGAAGTTCAGACTCATAACCAACGTAAGTTAAATTTATACTTTTTTCAGAAGTATCTGAAGTTCCAGCCTGTTCGGAAGATTCTTTTTTCTCGGGAGTTGACATGTTCGTCGTTGAAGGGTCACAGTTTGACTGATCGGAGTGACCTAAGGTTACATGGTTCTCGCTTGCCGATGTGCCTGGACATGATTGAGTGCGGATCGTGACGCCGTTTAGATCTGTAACCTTCTTGGCACTGTAAGTTTTTTGTCCCTGATCAGGATCGTGAATTTCTCCTTTTGCGTCGCAAGAAGTCGAAAGCTCGCCGTTAACAACGACGTTCCTATCTTGCGATGTCAAAACTGATGTTTCGTTCCCACTCTCCGCGGGTGCTGACTCCATTGCATAGAGCTAAACTAATAATAAATATTTAAAATCTAGGTGGGAGACCTCTATGCCCTCTGAGCGCCAATGTTTAAGAAAAAATCTCACCACCGAGTAAAACGCGATGACATCGTAACAAGGTTCAGAACAGGAACCGCCGCCATATTGAACTCACTAGTCTGGCAAAGTGTGATGGGTAACGCAGTCTCGGTAGGGACCAGTCTTACTCGGACGATTTTTTAAAACGCAACATGGCGGGCAGCGAGGATGGGAACCCATCCGACGAAGACAGCGAATGGTCTGATTTTAGTGGCAATAGCGCAAAAACAAATATTTTCGACGACGTGACTTTTGGTCTCAGATCTCTGGATCCTGTTGGTGTCATCAATACTCTAATTGCGTGCTTTCCGTGGCAATCAGACCTTACATCAGCTGGTATAAGCGACGGAGCGCCTTGCGCGAATGACAGGTTTAAATTTCATCTACAAGTACTTTGATTTTATTGGCCAACTTTAGTTATACTTGGTGAATTCGTGAATGTATTTTTGCGCCGTTTCGTTGACAGAATTCTCGACCGTGTTGATCCTTCACTGGAAACTTACGGAGAGCCTTTGACTTGGCGGGGTTCACTTACAGAGGTTAAATTTTCCAGGGCGTTGAATCTTCCATCGTGTAGCAATGGAGTAAGTCCTTTTTTCGCCTGAAAATATACGATCTTTAGGCATTTGCTTAATATCGCTTTATGAGTAGCTTGTTGCCCTTTTAATCGAATTACCACCGTGAAATTTGTCGCAGATGTGTTTTTTTTTTAAGTTCTGGATCTTATATTTAATTTGCAAGCTCTTTAATGAAGTTAGGGTAATCAAAGTTGATAGATTCCTCCATGAAACATTTATTTGAATTTAATTCGTGGGTACACTAGTGTCTCGACTTACTTCTCGTCGTTATAGCAAGCGTTCTGGCTGTTATTTTACTCCAAAGTCACATTAAAATAGATTGAACTGGTCTCTCTCTCCATAGCACAAATTTTCAACAAAACTGGCGTGACTATTTTGCTCTTAGCTGTAATAAGTTCGCACCCTTTCTGAATCCGTTTAGATTAAACATTTTACATTAAAAAAAAATATTTGCTAGATCCCTGTGACACCTGGTAATATATGATATTTCCACTGTCCTACATAAACATTGGCAAAGAAAAATAGAAATTCCTGTGCACTAGAAAATTGTAACAATATTTTAAAAATGTTCTGGTCCCAGGTGTTTGAGGTTATTGTAGGCATTCAGGGGTGTCTTCCAGAAAATTGAGGTTGAAGTTGAAGCTTTATTGCACACTCCCAAAAATATGTTTTTCATTTAACAATACAATATAAATACAATAACAATACAATTAAAAAGATACAATAATTATAAAAATACATTGAATTAAAAAGTGTAACACTTAAGCATCTTTGTTTTAACGTTTTTCTTAAAGTGTGCTAGACCTTTGCACAGTTTTAAATCTTTATGTAATGAATTCCGTACGTTTACTATCTTGTCCACTTCAAAAATTGGTCATGGGTAACTTTCACAGGCCTCAAACAAAAAACTGAAAATGTTTGTTAAAATGAATTACCTGCCTTTGTTTCCACCTGGATAACCACGTCACCGAAACACCAGGCAAGCAGAATTGTGATCTCTTATGGGAAAACATACACTAAGGGAAATCTGCTAAACGGTCAAAACGAACGGCTAGGAGATGGTTAACAAACAGAGACAGATGTTCTAGCTGTTTAAAACGGTTTATGATTTGCAGTAATGGAGAAATTGGTGTCTAACAGAAACGCTGCTAGCATATGGTGAAAAGCAAAAAGAATCAAAATGCTAGTCTGGAAGGGTGAAGAAGAGGGTGGGAAACCAGTAGCAAAATTAGCAGCCAAATTCGGTAAACCAGTGATCTGAAACGAAACACGGTAGCTGCTATAAACTCAGGGAGCAGGGATGGCGTTGTAGTGAGAGCACGCGCCTCCCACCAATGTGGCCCAGGTTTGATTCTCGGGCCTGGCGTCACATGTGGGTTGAGTTTGTTGTTGGTTCTTGTCCTTGCTCCGAGGGTTTTTCTCCAGGTTCTCCAGTCCCCCCTCCACAAAAATCAACACTTCTAAATTCCAATCCGATCTGGAAAGAGTGGATGAAGAGCCACTTTGTGGAAATGCCACTGTGACTGTAAATTCCCATTATTGATTCTATTAAGGTATTCCTGGAGTAATGTACTATCCACAACTTTGGGAGGCTGGTCGGACATCAAACGTATGTCTCACTAGTGTAATTTCCTTCCTTTCTCTTTCACTGAAGGAGGACTTAAATGCCAGAATTAAATGGAAGGAAGGAACTTTCACTGTTTTCTTTCATTGCAGAATAATTTGCCAGCTTGGCAAAATGAAGAGGACACTGATTTTGTCTCAACAAGAACTTTTGACTTTCACAAACTTGCTGAAAAATTCAGCACACAAAACTCTAGTAAAAGATGGAGTAGCGATTCTAATGGACTTCCAGAGGACTTTGTTTTATCAAAATCTTCTGATCCACTCTCTTCCACTGCTGCTGATTCTGATGGTGAAAATGAGGATGAAATTTTTCTTGTCTTCCGAGGAAAACCAAACAATCGGACATCAAGTTTTGATGAGTGCCAAGCTGCAGCAGGTAAGAAAATTATTTACAGATTAATAAAGTGCTTAACCACTGAGAGTAATCAACTTGTAAGTTCTCCACACAATGTCATGACATATCACATCTACAGGTCATAAACAATAACAGAATGATTACCAGGGTAACTACTATAGAGATTTGAGTTGTTGATTTTGTTGTGTAGGAAAATATCCATACCTCTCCCATGGAGGGGTACAGCAAGTTATTCTGTGATGTCAAAGTGACAACATGTCATAAAGCAAAACAAATGACGTGCTCGCACTTCCGCTCTGTACATGTCTTTGGGGTTTGGTTTTGACTATGACGTCAGTTCTGTTCTTGATCCAATCCTTCTTTCAAACTTGGAGTTTTCAAATTTGAGTAATGGTGGACAGTCGAATTTATCAGACTTTTCTTTGGGATTTTGACTTTAAATTTGGTACAATTGCTATCTGGGTGATTAAGTTTTGATATCTGAAAGAAAAAAGGTATTTTTGACCACAGTAGCACTTATATGGTGTTGAGTAATAGTTTTCTATAGAAGGTCAATCATAATCTAAATGTTGTATTTTCATTATTATTATTTCCTTGCAGGGCTCTCTGAGCTTTCAAATGGAGAACTTTTAGACTTAAAACAGGAGATGGCTGCCTATGTCAAAGAGTACTCAGATGTTCTTGTTGAGGAATTGACACTTAGGGAGGAATTAGAGAGAGAAAAAGAAATAAAAAATAACTTTATCTCAACATTATTAGCTGTTCAATCCAGAATACGAGAAATACAGTCTAGCCAAGGAAAAGGGAAAAAAGGATGGTCTGCTAATTCAGGAAAGGTAATTAAAAAACTTGGACTGATTCCATAAAATTGATGGTTTGACAATTGCAGAATTCAGTAGTTTCTCTTGTGCGATTCTGAGGGTATATATGAAAATGATCTTGAGAAAAGACAAATCTCACGCACTTTACATATTGTATATACCTGCCAACTCTCACACCTTTCAAAAAATATTTTAAGTAGAACCAGTGCTTCTTCCTTCAATTCTATGATTTTAGAAGGAAAAATTACTGACAGTGACTTAATGTTGGTGAAATACCACCTGTGACTGAGACTGAGAAATATTCAGAACATCTTCGTCAATTTTTGGAATGTTGTCAGAAATCTTTGGGCATCATTAGATACAGTCAGGGATAAAAGGTTCAATGCCTTTAAAATAAAAATTTAAGTTGGCAGGTATTTTAATAACATGAGTAGTGGTTATGCAACTATACCTCAATGACCTATGGCTATTCTAGGGGACCCAGCTCCCAGAGTAAACTAGTCAGAGCTTTCAGTTGACAAAGATCCCTGATCAGTTTTGTTTTTTAATTAATGTTGTGTTAGGTATATAAGTCTTTAATTTGTCTAAGCTCAACACAGTCTGCTTGTTAATTTATTATTTCTAACAAAATTTTAAAAAAGTGTGCAAAATGATTGACTAGGCACAATCATATATCATCCAAAACATTTCATGTGTAGATCAGCAGTTAGTCCTTTATAAGTTTAATTTGTGCTTTTAAATATAGTTGCATAATTATTACACCTTTTCGGTATGCTTTTGCGGCATTTGGTTGACCTATGGTTCATATGAGTTAGCAAACCTGACGCACCAGTGAAGTTTACCAGAAAGTATGACTAGATATTCATCACACCAAAATTTGGCCATAAATCCAGCCATATCAGGTCAGTGACTATATATCACAGAATAACAGGACAGTAAACGTGACTCCTGATTGCCCAATAATCGCCCCAAAAGCAACATATATGTACTCCATTTTTGCATGAAATCCTCCAATAATGAATTCTGGCCACTTGCTCTAGAAAACAAAACTATTGCACCCAGTCATATTCGGGATTTTATGAAATGTACAATAATGTGAAATTTTTTTGTTGTTGTTTTATTAGTATTTAACCACAGTGATACCTTATGATGAATTTGGTGGAGGTCCAAGCACCAAAGTATTGTTGAGGTTGATTGAAAGTAAGTATTTATTTCCTTTGAATTGTTTAACAAGTATGCTTCCCATACATTTCTAACAAAAAGATTATTAAAGTAACAATATTACTGAATGTGAAAGTGAAGAATGATCATCACAGTAGATTTTCCAATTTAAGCAATTGGAAAGAAGAAGCCTGAAAAAAATCAGGACTTCAACGGGATTCGAACCCGTGACCTCCANGCGATGATCATTCTTCACTTTCATCTACAACCACAGTTCAAATATGAATTACTTCATATATACTTCACATCATTACTGAATGTGATCATTAGTCTAGATGGAAGTCAACATTTTGTTAATTTTAGTAAGGGCAAAATCAAGCTGAAAACAATGAAAAATATCAAAAAGGACAGGCTACTCCAGTCATCTGACATTCAATGTAGATTACCATTATTCCCAAGGCAATATGTTGAGTATTTTACTTTGGTTTAGTATTGTCTCATAATCATTTGGAGCTCTCACTATAATGAAAACATTCTTGCCTTATTTTACTACTAACATTGGATCAACCTGAGTATGGTACTTACCAGAGGTGGATCCAGGGGAGAGGTTGAGGAGGTTGCAACCCTCCCCACCCCACCCCTCCCCCCCTCCCCCTCAATAAGCAGAATTTTTTTTTTTGGTTATTATTTTGTTTGACTCCTCTTTACGTTTCTTGAGGAACAAGAGAATGCATCCTAATTTTGTTTCAGCCTGTCTGCAGCCAAAAAAAATCGAGATTTTTTGTGAAGACTGCAAACTGGCCACCCCTCTTGGCCGCCCCATCTGCTATGTCATTCTTGTTCTCTTTTGTGGCTTCTTTCATTGTTTTCAACATTTTGGGGTTTTCTTTGAATTGATATTTCACTCTGACTGCATTCGACAAAAAAGGAATGCAGTCCTAATGCAGACAGGAGTGAGATTTTTTGGCAGGGTGAAAACAAATAGCATCATTGCAAAGCATGTGTATGCGAGATGATTTGCTTTTTTGATCGTTTGCGATCACTCTATATGTAGATAATACACAGTTGTTCCACTTCCTCCAATTCACTGATAGTCAACTCAGGAGAAGATAAAATACATTTTGCAACTGCTGTGTAAGACCTCAATTCGTGAAAAGGTCACCAGGATGTGATCGCATATAACAGGCGACATTCATTTCAAGTAAACAAACGGAATTGATACCATTAGCGAATTTTCATGTACTTGTTGAACTGTGTTCAACTTTGGAAAATGAAGAAAATGTGGCCCCATACTCCCTAGAATCTCATGCCTGCAGTGCTTGTCATCCAGGCTGATGGCGTTGGAGGTTTTAAGGTGTACAACACTCCTTTCAGTAATTCCTGGTTCTGCCCTGCTTACTGCACATTTTAGTGAACCAAAAGTACCTGCCTTCAAAGATTTTTAACCATCCAAAAGTAGGAAGAGGTAAAAGCAGATAAATCCAAAAGTAATGATGGTCATTAATTCTTGAAACGCCACTGTGACTTTCTGGAAACACAATTTCTGATGGGAAAAAAAAAACAAGCTAACAGAGGTCAATTGCAACAAACTTACCTGGTCTTGGCCATCTAAATCAGCCCTTGACTAATTGCTTTCTTTCCTTTTGAATGACTTGAATTAACAGTGAACTTTATTTTAGTTATGGAGGCGCTTATTGCAGACAGCCCTACTGTTCCTAGTCTGCTTACTGAATATATATTAAAAGGTGAGAATCAATGGGAATTGGTTTTCTTTACACAGTAATGTTTGGAACCAAAAATAATATCAGTTTGTTGTCAAACCATTTATTCCATAATGATAATAATAATTAGTATCACCCAACTAGTGGACTAATGCAAATCCTGCATTTTGATTGACTACACTACTAGAGGACTATTAGTAATAGTCCTCAAGTGGCAAAATTGGCGCAATCGAGCGTGACGCTTTCTTTCGTTTTATTCCCAAATAAATATTTCTTCAACTTGCATTTGTTAGCTTTATTATTGCCTTTTCTGTCCGACTAGTTGGGTGATACTAAAACAATTAGACCCTTCGCCCTCAAGGGCCATGGGTCAATAGCCCATTCAGCTTCGCCTCGCTTCGCCTCCCATAGCCCTTGCGGGCTGCGGGTCTAATTGTTAAATATCAGTAATGAGTAAAGACAGACAATACTCGATATTGTGGGGTTTGTTTTCAGAAAATTTCCATTCTCCGCTCCCCAAATTTTCCAGTGTCCTTCCTTGGGTAAGCCCAGGGTATGCATATTCTTTGCAAAAAGCAATTCGCTGTAACTGGTTGCAATAAATTCTATTGGATGATTTAGACAGGCAACTTGGGGTCTCTATCAATTATCACATGTTGTAGGGACAAAGCCCTGAGTCCACCATCAAATTCAGTAGTAATCATGATCGAGGAGTCTAGTTGTTTTAGTACAACCCAGTGACTCTTCTATTAAACCTACAATAGTAATATAATATATTTGGAAAACATGATGGTTTTCTGCTTAGTGCTTTGGTCTCCAGATTGAGCAGTCTAGGCTAGAGTCCTAGCTGGCATCATATTTGTGTTATATTCTTCCAAAAGTGTTGTTGCTATTAGAGTGCTGACTGCCTGTGATAACATCACAGAAAGAATTTTATTACAATGTAAATAAAACAATTAAAAAAAAAATGTTAAATATACAATTCTTCCTCACATAAGTGTTATTCTTGTTCGTTTCTCTGGCAGTACTGTGTGCTGAAGACTAGAAAGAGTCCTCCCTGCACTCTGGCCGCCCCATGTGAGTGTTTAAGTTTTACGATTATAGATATTTTGCACTCAACAGATTCCTGAATTAAAAAATTGATGAATAGAGGGAGGGGGAGTTGGTGGGGTGGTCACATAATTGAGTTTTTGGGGTCAATTTTGTTCTGCACCAAAATGCCTCAAATTTTGCATGTAGCCTTCAAATTAATTGAACATAATCACCTCATTTTTTCCTCTTGGTTTGCACCTTGATTTGGAGAAAAATGAAGTCAAAAACAGATAATAATTAAAAAGTGGATTATTGCACAGATGTTTTGCAAGAGCAATTTTGGAGACCTTCCCCTTTTTTCATCTCCATTTTCACATAAACTGACAACCACTTTATGCAAGTGAAAACCTACATTATATAGTGTAACCACTGCCTTAATTTCCTTCACTGACAGTGATTTTTTGTGTGTCAGTTTTATAAAAGTGTTATTATGATAATCACTCTTATCAACATTCTCCAGGTAAATGTTTCTGTCTCAAAGTGAGTGATGGCAGTACCACCAATGATGACTACGACAATGCAAGCAATTCCGTTGGGCCTTGGTTCCTCACAAATGGTTGAGAACTCAAAGACTTAACCCCTGCGCATATCTTGCAGTCACTAGTTGAGCACTTGGCATGTCTATTTGTGGGTCACATGCTTCAAAATGGTCATGATCCTGGGAGATCGTGTCAACAGTAAAGATATAAAAGTAATCTTCGTGAGTCCCAGTTGATATCTGAGAAGTAACTACAGTGGAGAGAGCAAGATAGAGAATTGGAAGGGTCAAAAAGTGTTCCAAGAAATTGGAATACTCAGTCACTTCCTGTTAAGAAACGCTTTCCTTCCAGTCCTCAGTATTTAAAGACTTTTTCAGATTAAATGCAACAATTCTATCTTCTTTCAAATGACAATGAGAACACATGTCAAAAAAATGCTGAAAAACATACATGTAATACTTGAAATTCAACATAGTCATACAGGTATACTCAGTCTTCTTCATTGTGCCAAACAGCATCTTTGACAAGTTTTCATTGTTTAGAAATATTCCACTGAAATGGAGAGATGTCTGCAGAAAATATTGATATTTATTTTCTAATATTTTTTAATAATTTGTTTATTTGATCTTTTTCTTAAATATTATTTTTTTATGTAATATTTCCAAAATAATTTAAAGAATTATCAATTGTGCATTGCTTAAAGCTGCTTCACAGAGTTAGGTAACACATGTTTACATAGGCTAATGCAAACCGTTATGTTTGAGTGAATTTGTGCTATGAGCTAGGATTATGTAGGGAATTTTGTGTCATCCAAACTTTAGGTTTGCATCAGCATGTCTAAACACAAAGGATTGTTTTATAAAATAAAACTATGAAGTTTAGCTCGATGTTGTAAAGGTATTTTGTTCAAGAAATAGAAAATGAATTGAGTATTTCATCATAGCTGGAGAAATATAACTGGAAGCCTGGTCAAACAAGAAATGTTGTAGAAATATGAGCAGTTTCTAGTTCTTCCAAACTTAATAAACATTTCTCAGTGCTTAAATGTTTTCTTTTTCCTTTGCAGTACAATCCATTGAGATCCATCTTTTCTCTAGGCATAAAAATTGTGGCTTTTTTCCAGCCAAAAAGTGCAACTGTGTTTGCCATGCTTTGACCTCATGCAAACCGTTTAAGCAGCCAATCAAAGACCATGTTACATGTTAATTTTTATAAATTTCAATTCAAAGTATTGCCAAATATATATTGTAAATACAGATATTAATATATGAAAATAAATGCTCTTCTTTTCCATTCTGGTTTTCTCGTCACATATTAAACAGTGGTTGGAGAACTAATCAGTTTTTGTCAGTCCCTTTGCACAGTGTATGTAATTGGGCAAACCATAGTAGTAGAGCAAATACATTTGTTCTGGACAATATAATATCAGTGTTGTATCTGTGTTACAAATAAAATATTGCTTACATTAAGAGAAACCTCGCCATTAGGGTCTCAACAGTGAAACACCACTGAGAAGACACTTGTGGTGTGCTTGCATCATCATTGGCTCATGTCCCAGCATCAATTTCTTGTAACAGTATGGTCTCCTCTTCTTTGATGGCATCGGAGGTGGCTTAGTGGGCCAATCCTTGCTTAGAATTTGCGAGGGCAGTGAGGGTACGGGAGGGTGGGTGGTGGATGAGGGGCTGCAAAGTCGTGTTTTTGTTCTTCACATTTCTCTTCCGGCTTATTGCCTCCTTTCTTAAAAGTAGCCTGACAAGATTGCAATGAGAAGTTATTTGATATATATTTTCCAGTCATTCTGTACTTTTACCAAATTTGATTATTTTACATACTATTCATTGTTTCAGACCAGTTTTCCTCTCAGAAAAGATAACCTTACTCAAAGTAGGTAACATGAATTGGAATATTGAGAATGGTCACCAACTACTAGTTCCCGTAGCTCTTGTGGAGTGAGTTTAAGAAAGTTCTTTTGCCCTTAGGCTCGATTTGAAGGAAATTGAGCAGCTCCCCTGCTCTCTTGGTGTCTGTTTGGTTTGCTATCTGTTCTGTCTTGTACCCCAAACTCTTGCACTCTTCTCCCACTTCATACTCACTGACAAACAAAAAGCAACTGCCATGCAGGCATTGTAACAATTTTGTTACAATGCAGTAAGTTGAGGGAGTGAAAGGGAAAAATCTCTTATACTAATCTTTATCAGAATGTACTCCTCTAAGATCTGAGAGCTTGGAACAAGTTGATGCAAACCTGAGGGACTAATTAAAATTTACTGCGATGAAACTGTTTTCCACCATTTGCAGTAAACAGATAACTTTCTGTGAAATTTTGGACAAGCAATCTTAGTTTGTAGATCGCAGTGTCAAACACATTTATGGACTTGACTGATGTGAGAGGGTAGCAAAAGGGGGTTGTCATCCCATTTTAAAATTTGTATGTCATACATGTTATGCTACTTTTAACAATGGCTTTTTCATATATTCACAAATCACATGACTGTCTCTTAGTTGCTTTTGTCACGCAACATACTGAAGCCGCCAAACGGACTCGCAAGTAGAAAACATGGATCTACTTCCAACTCCGTTTGGCCAGGCCCTACGGGCGTGTTGACTTGCGATGATTTGCAGGCTGACGCAAGTTTTTCACCATTTGGCCACCCAAATCAAGTCAACACAAGTTACTGGCGTCCATTAACCTTTTATTAGCCAAGGAAATACAGGATGTGTCTGCCTTAAAACGGGTTTTTTGCAACTTGTGTTTACTTGCAAGGAAACTTGCGAGTCCGTTGGGCCACCTAACACAAGTCTCCATGCAAGATCAACTTGCAGCTACATGTACTTGTAACTACTTGTGAGTCTGTTTGGGCAGGGCTTAGGTTTTGCCCTCATCCATTCCAACTTAGAACCTTTGCCACTCTCGTGTAATTTACGTGAATGATTCACAACACAAAGTTATTATGATGAAACGACGTAGGAGTGGTCTCCAGTGTGTTGTATCAGATTTCTAACAGATGTAAAGTTGCTGATATTCACAAATCAGACTGACAAGAAACCACAGCTTAATTTATTGAAAATCATTAAATAGACAAGAAATTTTACATCCAGTGCAACACCATGAATGGACTATTTCAAGCTCCAAAATGTTGAGAGTGAGCAAAAACATCTTACAAATATCTCCGACTCATCTCTTTTGCAAGAGCTTATTGGTATTATACATGTACTCTATCTCCATTATCTGAGAGCTTGGAACAAGCTTATCCAACCCTTAGGCAGTCCATTTGCTTTAACATACATGTGACTGTGCACAATTTACAGTAAATAACTTACTTCCCGTGAAATTCAGTGCAAAAAATGTTATTCATCTGATAAATTAAAGTACATTGAACAAAATATTCTTGTTCCACTGTCACACTATCAAGTGTAGGTATGGAGACATTCAGTTCAACACCTAGCCATTCAAAGGCTCTCTGATTCTTTCTAAGAATGTTATTTAATTAAGTGGATAGTGTAGTTTGTGTAACTAAAATATTTCCTCCGAGTAGTCATTCATTCAGTGTGTAGTATGTATTTATTCATCCTTTGAACAACCTCAGTGGCCCAAAATATTACCATCTAGCAAAATTAGATTTTTTTAAATTCTTTTTCATTTGCCTGATTCAATTTTTAAAAGCAATTAACACTTGCCCTTTACTTAATTGTTTATAAATTAAACCCATTTCAAATTGCTTTTAGATGAGAGTGGAGTTAAACCCAAAAGACCACAGAAAGTTTCCGACTTATGAGGTGTCTGCATTATTAATAAGGGTTGATTCAAGAGACATGCATTAACTGCAGACAAAAAATGTCTGTATTAAATTAATAACAAGACACCCATAAAAATGTATTCAGCAGGTTCAAAGAAATTGATTTTGACTAAGAGGATAACTACATAGGGCTTGAACATTTTTCAGATCAAAGGAAGTCATGACTTCACTGCAGCAAGAGTTTAAAGAGTTTGACTCCATATTTCAACTAACAAAATATTTGCAAGGGCTGCAGCATTTAATTTTCTGGAAAAGCAAACAGCAGATAGCCTGTTCCACCAATCTGGTGTGACTTCCATGCATAAGGTTAGAATTCCTGCAATTCTGGGCTCAACAGACGCTTGGTTCTCTTGTTGCTGGAGGCGTTACCTTTGGAGGATTTGTATGAAGGCGAGTCACTGCAAAAAAGTAATAAATAATATCTCACACTTTTTCACAGCACCTTCTTGACAGAATGTTTCTGTGAGATATAGATTAGCATTACACATGTCCAACCAATGTAGTTTCTTAATTTAATTTGCATTTTGGTTTCATGTATAACTGTTTGTATACTTTTAGTGAAACAAATCATGGTTAAGTTTGTTGCTCCTATATTTTAGGCCTTAGTTTCTGAACAGTGAATCTTAGGCCATTATACTTACAGTAGCCCAAGCCCTGAAGGAACAGAATGAGTGAAGTGGCCACTTTATGAGGCTGTTCTTCCAGTGGCATGCCACCGCAATCTGACACTTTGAAGTAGTTGGATATCGCTGGATCTAACCTAGAGTTGGTTTCAATGACATCATCTTGGTGGGGAGAGTTGGATCCTGTTACCAATAAAGTTGAACACTTCAATGATTGAACTTTCTTTGAACTGCCAGGTTCTGGGCGATGTATCTGAAGGTCTGTGCGTCTCAGGTAAGAGTTAATGAATAAAGAGAGATTGCGAGGGGACAGGACTGTGTGGAGACTCTGCTTAAAGGCATGCACAAGGTCCAGGTTTTCTTCCTTTGTCTTTTTACCAAAGTGATGCCAGAGTAGATAGTCTTCCACAAAGGTTGTCAGCCCCTTACTTTGCAGTTGTTTGACACACATCTATGGAACAAACACGAGGTATAGCACTAAAGTTAGGTACATACACATACTGTATACATGTACAGCGATATTACACCACATTACTGCATTTATATATACTGAATAATTTGAGATAAAATCTTTAAGATCTGTGTGATGAGGAGGTAGCTTTGCATCAGCAGAAAATAAAATAATAGCTTGTTTTTAACAAATACTGACTGTGTGGGTGCTTATGGGATTATTTTTGAGGGCCAAAATGTGAAGGAATGGAGCATTGAGAGGCACTCTAAATGCGAGGCCAAGTTGTGGAAATAATTTGAACCCAAAGTTCAACAGCAACTCCTTTGTAAAGTGAATTTTCGAAAATTTCCTCGCCCATTCTCACCATATCCTATTCAGTTTTTTTCTTGACCCTGTTTTTATTCATGGTTTTATGCAATAAGCCAAACAGACTTGAATGTTTGCCAAGGCAACCCCAAAGTTGACTGATGTAGCTGCTCCCTTTTCACAGGGAAATTAAATTTTTCTCGCCGTTGTTTTCCACCCCTTGTCATCTCTCCCAACACCCTCCCCATATCATTCCCACTATTAAATTTTACTATTGTTGTCAACAACAGCATGCATAATAAATGTATGATGAGGTTATACGAAAATCTTGCCTAAACATACGAGCAAGAATTACTGTAATGGTGTCATTCTGAAGCAAACACATAAATGTGATAAATAATTGATATCTTCCGTTCGCCAAGCTCATATTAAGTAGCGGATTTGCACACTTGCTAGTACAAAATGTACATAGTTTTCGCACTTCTTGCACGAACATGCAGCGCAAACAAACCTTTTGGTATCCCCACTCGATCCACCCTCCATTAGAAGCCACTAATTCCACCAAAACTAGGGCTTCAACTCGGGTAGGATTCCAGAGTGCATATCGACAGAGGATGTTGGCTCCAGCGCCAATACCGAAGCCAATAAATCGTTTGATGTCGAAAAAATTCACCACTTCTCCAACCATGTCAGACAACTCGTCCATTGTGGGATACAAGTATTCTGCTGGCAAGTCCTCGCTGTCTTCTTGCTGGCCAGGAGCGTCAATGTGGTAGATGCAGAATTGATCTAGAAGGGGCCGCGTTTCGTTGAAGTTGAAGAAACCAAGAAATGCTGATGTGTGATTTTGTCCAATATCATGGAACGTGACGATGGCAGTCTTCCCCTCTTTTCCCTGCCGAGTTACACGCAGCTTCCCTCTGGAGGTTTCCACATCGTGCTCAGAAAGGAGCGAGATGAACGCTTCGTGATCGTCGAAGACTTTTGGTTCGGATTCGTGAATATCTATCGAAGTAAGGCTAACGAGAGGTTGTGCTTCCATCTTCTCCTCTCCTTCGTGTTTTGCAAGTAGGGCGATTGCAAAGTTCCACGGGACCGTTCGAATATCAACCAGTGCTTCCATGCAAGTTACATGAAGGGTAAACTGAACTAGGACTGTTGCGAGGTGAAGATAAAATATGCCGTGATCAAATGTTCTCTGACTGTCATTTACTTTTTTTAACTAAAGCTACCGCGTTTATTTATGTTAAAGGATGAAAAGTAGTGCGGCTGCAGATGTGCAGGTTGATGAAGAAAGGCCTGATAGCAACGTTCAAGATGTAGTCCCTGCTGAAGACGACAAACATTCCGGTCAAGTCGACCAAAACACTATACAGCCTACAGAAGATGGAAGCGAACTAACTGACCTGTCTGAAGAGAAAATACCCGAGGAACCACTATCTGACCACGAACGGCATTTACTATTTGAGAAAGGAATCAAGTAAGATTGTCAGATATCGTAGTGAACCCCTATTTTGAT